GAAGTGGGGACAAGCAGGAAAAAGTCACTGTACATTATGATCCAAGTAACACGATCTCACAATTTGTGGCCGCGTATCTGGATACTGCACGTGGTGCAGTAGAAGATGTGGGAAATGTAGGGATTTGGGAATTTGATAGGCAACAATGCCAACGATATAAAATACCGGCACTGCTTGCTGTACGATGCACCAGATGTAGGTATCATGCTTACGTGACTTCTATCTCATCGAGAGATGGCCACGAAGAACAGCCAAGTAATTGTGAGACACAAAAATGAGTGCATCATCCAGGGTCCCGATCTAGGGTGCATTAGTCTAAGGTGATTTGCTGGGGCCACCCACGGATAAATGGCTGTTCCGTCTGTATTGTAGATTTTAATACTCGTAGCGAGTTGCAGGCTGGTAACGATCGGAAAACTTTAAAATGGCGACGGGATTATCGCAAGTAAAATGGGATTCGTGATAGGTAACGATATGAAGACATATATGTACAGTATTTGTAATGATAAAACTGGCGATCGGCCCCTGAATGTGATCCAGAAATACAGATCTTAGTGATGATCTCGGCGATGTGATACGGGTACTTCTCTGGAGATTTGATTTTGTTCCCAACGGTTCGTGCCCTAAAGATAGGTATCACTAGTAGTTGGTTAGGTAGATATGCTTGAACCTGAGCTACGAGATAACGCCACGGATTTACTCCGATGTTGTCATAACAATAAGCGATCATGATCGCGAACAATTAAGGTCTGTAGCGTATATATCACTTTTGAGTTTAACGTCAAATCCGGTCTAAAGATTGACCTACCTCGCCTACATCAGATCGGACTTCATATCAGGGAAAACTCTTGTCTTAAGCACTATGATTAGATTCATTATTACCCCATAAAGATATTACACTATATCATCTTCTATATTACGATCATAAGACGATTAAGTTACTAGAGTGAGATATGCTGGGATTCTACTTCGATACTCATTTTTCTATAGGGCTATTGATTGTTCGTCCTACGCGAGCAAAATCTACAAATGAAGGGGCTATGGGGTCAATGTATGGAAGTCAATTTATGGAATATTTTATCAATTTAAACATTCTCTCTTCTTGTGACTGTTAATATTCTTGGTCTCAGTAAGCCCTAAACACTTTCACAGCCATTGTCATTTTCGTCCTCGAGACTTTTATACCGTATGTCAAATCCCCTACTAGTTGGATTTGTTTCATCACCCTCTTGCTATTTTCACCACCCCACGACCCACAAATAAACCCCTCCCATCTATCTTTTTCTCTCCCAGACCCTCTCGCGGGTGACAGGAAAAATGGCACACACAAATTCGTAATTCTCATTCAATGGAACAACACCTCTCTTTCAATTGATTCAACACCACCACTTTTTATATTTATAATAAGAATAATATGGTAGTTTTATTAATTCGATATCAGAGATTAATTCTATATAAGTTTTATGATTCTAAGTGCAATATTCGTAGAATAATTCATTACGGAAGATCGACTCGCTTCCATTGACAGAGACTTTTAAATTCGCTATATTCAGAGCTTTAAGATTCAGTATAAGATAAAAAAATTAATATCGATGCTATATAGGGTACTGTTTTGAGTGATATAATTATATAATTGATATAAGGTAGTGTTGTGGTTCAATTCCCTCTGAAAGTGAGTTGTTTCGAGGGGGAAACCACTCTAAAAACCACCCTTTTGACCACCTTTTCACCACCCAGTGAGCTGTCCTTTCATTTTAATAACATCCCTAAGCCTCTGAGGCATAGTATCTACTAGTTTATTGATATGTTCAATAGTAACTTGCTCCCAACCCTCATTTATAAGCTCCCGCATGGTTGTATCGTCCCAATGGGCATGCCTCCGAACGACTTGTTTTGGGATTTGCCAGATATTTTCGATGATTGAGAGATCAGGACTATCATGACAGTTTTGATAGGTTTCTAAACTATGATCTCTCTTCCATTTCTTCACTATATTGTCCTTCTTGCCCCCATAGCCGTGTCCTGAATCACCATCTTCCTCGAGTACGAAATCCTTCGATACAGCTAACCATCGCTTTACCTCCCCATCCAATATAGTATCGACATAAACCTTATGGGACAACTTGCCATTCCGGTTCCCAGGAACATCGTAATATATAAGATTGCTCTTAAAGTTGTAGCCCACTGCCGCCCAGCAGTGTTGCTTATTGCGGTGTTCCTCCTTTTCTACCCCTCTGAGCTGAATACACTCAGGACAGAGCCTCTGGCCTAGCTTTCTAATGATCCTATACTTTCCCTCAGGCCCGAAACCCCAATGACACTCATCAGAGAACCTAACTCTTCTCCAATCCTCCGGATTAGGGTATTTAGCTAGCATATCGCGGGCAAATTGGAGTCTAGCGGCAGCTGTTCTCTGTGTAACCCATCCCTTGCAACAAGCTATACATTTTCGATATCCCATAGATCCCATAGCTCGTGCAATAGTCCTTCCGGATTGGTCTAATCCACATGCCTCTCCCAATTGCTTCCAATTGAGGGATCTAGCCTCAAAACCCTCCGTTTGGATCATGATCTCCATAGCACGTATATCGCGAGGAGTAAGGGTTTTTTTTGCTCCTCTAGTCTCTTTACGTACTGTAGAATCATGTAGACGCCTTGGATCGCGATCATGCCAATGTCGATATCCGGTGCGAGGTGCGACATTGTAGGCCCTGAATACTCGAGCTTTGAAAGTAGTGACAATTCCATCAGCTATTCCATCAAGCATAGCCTGGGTTTTAGCTTTAACAGGGGTTCTATTATGCTGTTGGGGATACGTTTTATCCTCATAGCGATCGCGGCGAGTTGATACCATTATGTTGTGATTTAATAATTAATTTTGAAGTTGTGGTAATTGACGTGAATTGAGGTTAAAAGGACACGTGTGCCATTTTTCGTGTCACTCGCGAGACCCTCCACTCACCCATTACTTTGGAGATCCATATTAACAATATGGGCCGACCCATGGTAAACGTATGCAAGGATATGCAGTCTGCCACATCCACGCATCTTATTTATAATCCCTGCCGACTCATCGTAAACTCGCAAATCTCAAGATTAGCTTGCCCCTCGTTTGGTCAAAAGATATTCGGATTTTATTAGATGCCATATCGTTCGTCCACTCTGAACAACGACCCACCTGCGATTTAACCTAGATGTTGGTCAATCTGCATCTAGATACAGATTGATGCAGATTTGTAAGGCTAACTCATCCATGGTAATCCGAAATACTACTCGATATAGTTCTGATTTTCTTTCTAACAGTTTGGCTAGCTGCTGCTAGCTGCTGCTAGCTGGCAGGTTTTGCCTGTAACAAATCATAATATTAATAAAAGAGCATCGATATGATCCATACCACCCACTCATCCCCCTTGTCGATAGTGCCTTGTTCTTTCCTGCTTTGCCGCTACTACCTTGATCCTTGGCGACGGTTTGGGTTTGCCTTAGCTACGACTCTGTATCTTCCTAATCTTCGATCCCCATCCATTATTATTATCCTTAACATTTAGCCATGACAATGTCCATCTCACAGTCAAACCCAAAAAGAAATTATACCCAAGTCAAAGTACCGGAAACTAAAAGATCTCTCCCTTAGACTAGCTCTATAAGGCTAAGAATCTCATAGCTAAACCATCACTAGCTTGACAAGTGACGGCTCGAATCCGCTCGATCAAAAGTTAGCAGCTTAGCAGGTAGCACAGCACGATGCTGCCGCTTCCTCCCACTCATCCCGCTCCACTAACTTTACCTCTAGTCACAACTACAACTACGACCACAACTACAATTAGTCCTACTCTTCTCACGATTTACTAAATGTTTCTTATTCAGCAGCTCAAATAAACTTGACTTATAATTGCGTCGACATTCTTACTTGCTTATTTTTATCTTTGCTGGCTTTCCCACCTTTGTGCTTCTTATCTTACACTCCTACAGTTATCCTATCATTTGCCTTACCAAACTTCGAGAAGCTCACCTGCCCTGTTGTGTACCTCGTTCCTCCTTCCACACTTCCACAAGCTTTTACACCGAGCGAAACCCTAATCAAGCAAGAAGTTAGAGCAAGCAGCCTTCACACTGTTACAGTCCACTGCTTCCTTCCTTTCTTCCCTCCTCCCATTCCTTCAACATCATCGAAACATTGATCTTGATCTTTGCTCACGAAACGTATCATACGAGTTTGCAATTCTTATACTTGGAATTTTCACATTCAATCTGATCAACACCGACGCAGAGTCAATTGGATTAGTTTTCGCCTTCAGTTTATGGACCTAGAGCTTACATCTGGATTCTAAACCTCTATATACCTAGCTACAGAAAAGTTCTGATTCAAATCGAAAAAAAGTCTCACTAGAGTTAGACGGGCTTTTCCCCTCCAATCTCCCCTCTGTGTAATTCAGCCTCATTCTGATCGAATAAATATATCGGGATAGCCGCGCTCAATTCAAATTCTTGGAACGAATTTGCTGGACGTTCTCACCATTTTCGCCGCTCAAAATAAACCACATACACAAAAACCTGTGGTTGACAAAAAGGCCCACTCACGTAACGCATCGATTGCCTCACTTTGAGACCTTTGATAGGACAGTCGATAGCAATCGATCGAGTGTATATACATAGCCACGAGCCATAAAACACAAGTTCAACTTCTTTGATAATTCGATCTTCAGTCGTCAAATTTTAGCCAGAGCAATCTCGAAGGCTCAAATCCTTTCTTTCAGCCGCACACCAATTAACCGTTCTGCCTCTCATCCTCACAATCGATTTGCATTCCGGCCAGTGCTCAAGCAACACCGAAGAAATAGTACGGAAATACTCGAGCTGAGGGAGATTCGTAGATGCTTAGGTGAACAGGTGTTACGGTAGCACAAACGTCGGAACCGGAAGAGCACGATATCATTCCACGCATGTTTCCGAGCATCTAATCTGTTCAGATTCGAGTGAAATATTTCCCAGATCTTGCAATGGAGGGTGCGGAAAGTGGCAGTAGGTCGAGGTCAGTTTTTCTTGTCTCATTAGGACCACTGCATTTTTTTCAAGCTAATGCAAGTTCAACACAACACAAGCTGACATTCATATAATATTAGTGGGATCCTCTCCATCATGAACCGTGAACATATGGAGCGTATAAATACCGACACGAGATATATACAATCAAATCCAATGGCTGCACCACCGATTGCCAGTCCTGCGTCCGCTCACTACCCAAATGGTGCACCATACTCCGCAGGATGGCCCAGTACTCCGCATAGCGGCTTGATGTCTCCTCCAGAATCGCGGAGGACGTCAAATGACAAAGCGCACCCGCATCCACTGCAGACCAACACCCATCGACAATCATTGCCATCGATACAGGAAGCTCTCAGCAGCACTTCTACCAAGCCCGGTCCTTATGCTTCACCTGTATCCGCCTCTGCACCGCCATCGCATCCGCAGAGTTCCTATGCACAATCGCAAGTGCTGCCACCACCACGAACACATGAGCAGGGCGGAGGATTTCAGTCATCTCAATCGCGGCAACCTTCTCCTCCGATGCCTATTCAACCACCACCTTTCTCACGCCCTGATTTAGATTCAAGGAGCTTCGCGGAGCCCAGGAGGCCATCATTGTTACATCCTTCGATTCCACCACCTCCACATGCAAATTCATACGCGCCGCCTAGATATGAGGCTCCTAGGTATGAACAGGAGCCAAGAGCTAGTGAAAGATTTGCTGAGAGGTCAATGAATGACTATGGCCCACCATCTTCTTTACACACTCAACATCCATATGCAAACGCTCCAGCGCAACCGGTCCACCCTTCTCATCCTCCACCTCATGGGCAAGGTTACCCTCACCCACCTTATCCACCACGGGATGAAAGAGATTTAGGTGTTGCCGGATTTAAGAATTATAAGACTCAACCCGAGCCATTCAATCAGGGCTTAAAGCGACAGCTTGAGGTGTGGGATGTTGATAATAATTTAGCTCAAGTTTGTCATCCATTCTTTTCATTTTTAGTCAAATTTGCTAACTAATCAACCAAAGATCAACGTTTCTAGCTCTGTTTTACAGGATTGGTCACGTCATTTCCACGCAATAAGTCAAGAACAACCACGCTCTCACATTGCAATCCCGGAAAGATCACCCGACCGCAAGGCCATTGAAGATATGTTGGTTCACGGTAACCGAGTTGTATCTTGCCTTCACCGCATGTTGGATACTGCTGTACAGCAGCAGCATGCAGCCGATGAGCAATCTCGCGGTGCCAGATTAGCTACTGATTACGATGATGAGAGCATCTATGGCGATGATAGACACCATCAAAATTTTGGTGGACCAGATAACAAAAAACGTCGAGGAGTACGTATTCACCCAATTTGACATGTACAAAAGTTTCTAACAATTGAATAGCGCGCTGCTCCACCAGGCAGATGTCACAGCTGTAACAGAGCGGAGACTCCCGAATGGAGACGGGGGCCAGATGGAGCCCGTACGCTTTGCAACGCATGTGGGTTACATTATGCGAAACTTACCCGCAAAAACACGATGAAGCAGTCACAAGGTTCAACTGGATCATCACTTCGACCCAAATCTTCGGAGGATCATTCACCACGGTCATAACCTTTGCAACAGTACCTACTAAGTGAAAGATATATCACCAAAGCACAAATCTAATGTATAAAGTATTCAGCGTTACAGAGCATGAAGATCTTTAGCGATCGTCATCATGGAGTTACGGAGAGTTTTGATCGGAGGATCATGGGAATAGGAAAAGTCGCATAATTACACGTCTTTCAGGGCGGAGAGAACACATATTGGTTTTGTTCGAGGGTCACGCATACCAGGGGCATTTTGGCATTTTGGCATTTTGGCACTCACGTTCAAAGAAAGACTTTTATTTAGTTTTGGTAGCAGAAGCATATGGAAATTTTGCTTCCAGGCGTTTTGGTTTGATTTTGATAGCTACGGCTATGGGTACAACAATGAGTTTTGAGACTCTGGTTTGGCATCTGCATAAGATGGCGTTTTTTTATATTCCCACTTACCAGATGTGGATTTTTGAGTAGCACTGAAATATGTGGATATCTCGGATCGTGGGATCTGGACTTGGGCTGGGATATCATTTTATACCATTTTACACCATTTTTTTTATACCTATTGCTTGTCTTTTCTACAATATATGATTTTGAGCACCCGGTTTCTGGAAGACGCGCACATTCTGTTATTGGATTTCTTTTCAGGGGAGCCATCATCATGTGGATACCTAGGTACATTCATTAAGATCGAGCTGGGCTTACGGTGGAGGCGGGAACAAAGCCAAGTAAGGACACACATTGTGGAATAGGCTGGGTTGGCTTGGATACTTCAAGAATTGTGAGATTCGGTAGCAGGGGGGATGATCCAAATCCAGCCAAAAGGCATGCATCTCAGCGGACGTTGTTCGGAGGCACAGCGTAGAAGTGGCTGGATAGAAGGGGACGGAAGGGCCGGCTGATCTTGCATCTGAATCTGATCTGATCTAACTCTGATCCTAAGCTCTTAATTGCTTGTCAGATGAATGGTCTACGGATCGTAGATGGTCTTAGTGGTGTACAAATATTTTTAAATGTAGTTACAATCAAATAGGCTGGAATAAATCAGGAGACAGTATTGGACAGAGCAAGACCAGACGGCAATGAAAGAAATCAAGATAATATCTACAAATTTTCCGCTGCCTCATCCATTTTTGTGTATGCACTATGCGCTGTGCGCTGTATTGTGCTGTGTCGTGTTGTATTATGGGTTTTATTTGAAGTTTTTGTGTATGGAAAGGTAAGGTGGGTATCTGTTTGGTAGTGATTATACTCGTACTGCCAGAAAGTATGCAACTCCGACGCTAGATGCACATACCACAAGATGGTAAACTACAAGAGGACTAACCTGGTTTTCATAGCGCCAGAGTTGCATACTTTCTGGCAGCACGAGTACTCACTGGCCTCGATCGTCAGCATATGTGAGACAGGGCTACAGATCGATCCTCTTGAGGCGTTGGGGGGTATGCGCATCGTGAATACAAAAATGGAGCCAAACTCGGGGGACAGGACCAAAGCGGCGGGTCCTAGTTCCTTTAACACTGGCGCACATGCAATTTCGCCGACTGGGGTAGGTATGCAAGCTTGCTCACTTGTTGAGAAAACCATGAACATGTGAAGCTAAGAAGCTAGGATAGTTGTGATGGTTGTGATGGCATAGGCGATGATCACGTGTGGGCGAGGGGGGTGGAGATCGAGAATTTGAGCGCGCAGGGTATGGCAGGGGGGTGATACGAACTCTATAGAATGTACTCCGTACGGAGAGTTATTGATATGTTGTAGGTACCGTATATGGTTGTTACCTGCATGCGCTACGATAGTCGATTTCTGCAGCTTTTCTAGGGGAAATGAAGATGGTCGTGTACATGTTGATTGCAGATTAGGCTTGGATACTACGTCACTTCACTCACTAAAGCTGTACGGTTTGGTGAGAATTATGGCTACGATAGTGGAAGGGAGTTAGAGCGCAGTGTAATGATACCTAGATGTCTGCAAGCTCTGCAAGATGCATTACAATTACTTGATTGTCAGAGAAATGTTATTTGTGTGCAAGTAGATGTCTGAATTTCCTGATTTATGGACACGATTGGTGGGAATGATCGAAGTAGAACATGTATACTAGATAGTATCATCGTGCAGATTCTTGATTGTCATATGCTGTGTGTTCACGAATGAATACGTATCGGTGGACTTATAGATCTCTGAAGTGACGTTTAAAGACCACTTGGATATACGAGCATGATTAGCCAGTTGAGAATAGAACATTCTAACTGAGACCAGTCTTTTTCAAGGAGTCATAATTCTGTATGACTTGAGTGACATTCTCATATTAAAACGAGAAGGCTTTATAAGTATAATATTGACATGCGTACACGGCATCGTGTTGGAGAGACCATCATGACGATAGTACATGCTTGATATGTACACAAATTGGCTACCGATGCACATGCAGTTTTAGCTGTGCGTGTGACGTTGAGTTTCGAGGATATCGGTATATACATTGGTAATTATGCGCATATCCGGATGATGGGCTGCAGAAACGGAGAGGCGATAAAGCTTTATTTTTCTGATGTATGTAATGGGATCGATCGGATCGGAGAGGAAGATTCTGTGTGAGGGATGTGCTGTGGTTTTAATGTTGTGAAATGATCTAGTAGGGTTAGGAAAATAGGTGAGGGGTAGAATGGTAATTGCTAATAGGGAATTATGTAGTGAAGGGCTATATCGGCTTGTGATGAAGGAGGACCAAAAAATAAAGAAGTTTGGGTCTTGTATTCGCAACTGATTCATCTGGATAAGAGGAAACAACCAAAGCTAATGGACAGGAAAAGTTCCATAAAAACGTGTACACCAATGATGATTCCTTCGCACTTGACACTCAAGTAATTGCCAATCAAAACTTTTTCATCGAACTCTTATCAAACCCAAGTGCGATAAACACCAAACAAAAAGAGTTTAGGGTCTCGGATATGAAGGTACACAGCATACATCGTACCTGGGCATATCTACTCGGATAAGCCACACTCAGCGAAGCTATGTAAATTACACCTGAGACTACACACACTCGCGTATTATACCTGCACTCTCGCATATGCTTTGTAACTTCAGGAAATTAAACGTGATTCTGTAGGCTCCCTAAGTGCAGATGCAGATGAACACGAGGTTTATCGTATGTGTAGAGACGGTTAGGTGCGAAGCCGACAATCTGCATCAGGTGGGAACACGTGTCGGTGGAATTGCGGAGACTTCGGAAGACTTTGAGATCGGGGATCTGAGTTCGTGCCACTTAGCGTTGTACAGAGATACGGTATGTTTGCTTGGGTGGTGATTTGAGAGGATCAAACTGAGTAATGAACACACTCGTGATCTACTTTGATATATGTAGTGGATTTTTCTCGGAGATCCGGAATTTGCACTAAATCAATTATAGATTCTCCGGGTGCATACATCTAGCGGTTGCATTGAAGCAACATGTAGGTCGATCTGAATGTATTTCCCGCAGTAGATCAGTAGTAGCTGACAGAAGCATTCCGGTGGGGCATCAAATCCTCTTCTGGCCATGGATCTTCGACTCTGACAGTTCCATGATTCATGGTGGTATACAGTGTATCTAAACAGTACAACTTGATCTTTCCAAGTGTTAGTATACTATCAGTCGACATTGTGTAGATTTAGTTTCAGATTTTACTAGATCTACATGTAGTACCGGTGCTACTTTGAAGGTTCCTTCGCCTGAAGTTGATTGACTCTTCGTGTCTTAGATCGTTTGTCTCGGATCTAAGACTTCGACGTGAGTAATGGTTGTCCCCATTGTTGAACTAGTAAGAATCTAATCTATCATAGTGATGTGCATCTTGGATCTACCCTTTGAACTGACTTCAAGGGCAGTGACAGCTAGCAACCCCAGAGCGCTCTTAGCATATTAGAGAGGAAGCATATCAACGATATCTTTCGCTGCACCATCTTCGATTGCCATGGGTAGCTTGGGCAACAAGTTTGGTTTGACTTGGCATTATTTAAAATTGATGATGTTGTCTTCCGAGACCTTATCTCCGCCTCATCTTGGTACTTACTTGCAGTTGGTTGTACACTATAGAACAATCCAATCTTCAGGGTATCGAAATCATTTAAACGTGAATTCTAAATACTTTGACAGGAGAGTAAATCCGAGACTCATATTATTTACGTGAATATTTTCTAACACGATTGATATATCGCATTGTGCTGACAATGAATAGCCTGGAAAGCGTCGATCATCTGGTTCATCCTAGCACCAGAGTTGTCGATACACTAAATCCCACCAGGCTGGTAGCTTCCGTGCATACTGGATGCTGTCAAACACCTGGGCTGTGGGTATCTGAGACATCTTTCGATGCTTTTCTGAGCCTGAATTACCAAAAGCCAGATAGAAAGAAGAGTGATGATTTCGGGATTACGAAGTTGTTATTGAATGCACAAAACGAACTGTTTTAATCACTTGAAATTTTGAACATGACTCGAGAAACTACTCATACAAGAAACGAATCATACAGAATTTTCCCTGAATTTACAGGAACTTAAGGTACAACGGATTGAATGCAAGATTGGTATCAGAGAATGAAATTTTGGCACAGTGAGCGTCGCAGTTTTATGGGGGAAATCAATTCACGCTACGTGTTTTAGAGCTTCTCCCACAAACATACGCCAGGGTCAGTGATCAAAGCCTGTCAACCAACTTTATAGGAGAGGCAACTTGCAAATATTACTAGCAATGCCCGTGGCAGTTGACAGAGAGCGGCGTGAGTTGCGCGCCAGTGTACAGGAGCATATGAGCTGAGATTCCTAAGTGTGTGGACAACGCAGTCGCGCCTTACAGATATGTACTCATTGTACTAGAACAATCAAGTGGGTAAAGATTGATCGAGCGACAATGAAGTAAGTGGTTATTTCAAGCTGGAAAGAAAGTCGACGTTTGAATGACGATCATATCAGAAGATGAGATGGATATTCGTGGGGCTTAGTGTTTCAGATCATTGACTAATGAATTGATGAACCATGAAGATTTGACAT